CCCCGGGGGGAGGACGGGCATCGGGGCCACGGAGGCCTCCCCAAGAGTCCACTCGTGGTTAACCAGACCCTGTGCGGCCCGAAGCCACAGCCACCCCAGCTCTCCAGAGTGCAGCAGGGTAAGCGGGACTCACCAGCCAGGCCAGCGCTCCTCCGACCGCGTGTGCTCAGAGCCTCGGGCTCGCCGCGCCGCCTCGGGGGGCACCTGCCAAGAGCAGAGGGCAAGTCACCCGTAGTGCCAGCTGCTGAGTCCCTCTGGCCGCAGGCCGGGGGCATCCCGCTTGGCGCAAGGGCAGCCTGCAGGGGCGGAGGGGCGGGTGCAGGGACACGAGCCAGCGCAGAGCTTCCGGAAGGCGGAGAGGGCCACGGGCAGTCAGTCCCCCCTCTGGGGGAGGCACGTGTGCGGGCACACGTCGTGTGCCATGCGCTCGGCGACGGTTATCAAGGTCAGGAACAAGGGGCTGGCTTTGGACTCAGCTCAGCCAGCTGAATCTTGGGCGTCGCCGGGCCTGGGGCCCAGCTGCATAAAGAACAGGGTGACAGTCTCGGCTCAGTGGCGCCATCGGGCCAGGAATGGCTGTGATTATCCTTATTTACCTTTCAAAGATTCCGGGACCCCACCAACTCTCTGACTGTAGCCCAGAACTGGACGCTGAGCCTGCTCTGGGGCACCCCCAGCCCCAGGACCCCCAGCTGGGCCCGTGGCTGCACCCGCCCTCCCTCCCGGCCCCCAGGGGCCGGGCCCTCTGCTGACAGGGGCATCCTGAGGATGGACGCCATGAGGCGCTCCCTGAGGACACGCTGGGGGTGCGGGCTGGGTGCCAGAGGGATGTTCTGGATGGGAGGAGTGTCAGCAGGCTGGGGAGCCCAGCCCTGACTCCACTGAGTCCCTCTGGGGCCCCTTCGAGAGACTCAGGGACAGGGGCCCACGTGCTTTGTACTTGTGAACTGCTTGGGGCGACTCAGAGCAGGAAGGGACTTTTCCAGCCGCTTCCCTGTTGGCTACAGAACGGGAGGACTTGGCTGGGGAAGTTCTGCTCTTCCATCCCGATCAACAAACTGTAAACAAGCTGATGCCCAGGGGGCCCAGACCCTCTGGGGAAAAGAGGCAGGTCTGCCTCGCTGTGTGCCCACCCTGGAGACCACAATGCAGGGACACACTGGACTGAAGAGGCCGAGCCGCGCTCTCTGAGCGGCTTCCTCCCTGGCAAGGAACCAATGAGCTGCACCTGCAGCGTTGAGGGCTTCAGCGGGGTGGGATAAGGTGACCCCAGTGACTACTGGCTGGGCATGGAGGGTGGGCCCAGGAGGCCCTGCCCCTGGGGGAGGGGAGGCTGTATCTGAGGGCTCACTCTCTCCCAGCCCCCACCCAGCCATTTCTAGGGCTCCAAACCTGGGGAGGAGCTGGAGACCGGCAGTGCAGACTCTGAGCAGGGCCCTAGGGCCGGTGTGCGCCTGCCCTTGGCAATGCCAGGAGGATGCTGCTGCCTTTGGGACCACCTCCCCCTGCCCCACTGCGCTGGCACAGAGTCCCTGGCCTGAGGGGCACCCTGTGAGCGGAACAGCCCAGCCCAAGAGTGGGGGCCCAGGGCGCATAAGGAATGGTGACGGGGGCCCTGCAGGGCCGTGGGATCTGGGCTGGGAGGAGAGACGGACGCCCAAGAGGGCAGGCTCAGGCCAGACAGTGGGCCAGGGCCACAGGAAGCCGGGGGCACGGCGCTGGACAAGGAGCGCTTTCAGAGGCCCCAGGAGGCCCCCAAATCAGAGAGACCAGGGGCCCAGCAGTGGCCAGGAGACAGGGACCCGCACACCCAGGGGCACGGGGCCCCACCCTGGGCCCATCCTGCGACAGCGAGGACACCTACAGGCCGGGTCCCAACTCAGGGCGCCTGTTTGATCATGTTGCCAAACACATGCTGGGAGAAGCAGCCTCAGATCCCAGGGCAAGAAAGTACAACTGGCCCCAGGGAGGCTCGGGCTGGGGAAATTAGCCGGAGCCTCCGGCCCCCAAGGGGGCGGGTGTGGCTGGAGACCGCGGGGTCTGCATCATCAGCCTGTCTGCATGTTCACAGGCGGGAAACTGAGGCAAAGCCGGCAGCCCTGGCTCCACTCAAGGCTCAGACGGGGGCGGGGGGGAAGGCCACCCTTGACGACAGAGCCGGGGAGCGGGTGGGGGCGTGGTGGGTAGACAGGGGGCCCAAGGCAGGTAGAGAAACGTGTGTGTGGAATGTGGGAGCACCTGCCGAGCTGGGCGAGCCGTGAGGCCCCGCCTGGGCGGTGGGGCTCGGGCAGCGGGCAGCACAAAATACTCCCTGAGACTTTTACCGAACAATGAGTGAAATTGCCTTCCCTTTTTCAGACGCAGGGCGTGAAATTGGAAGGTTCCGGTGACTTCTCCAGGGCATAAACGGGCATCTTTCCTGGCAGAGAGAAGGAAAAATAATTCAAAAGAGAATGAATGCACAGAACTCGCCGTCCCAGGGCCGGATGGGGTCAGCGTCCACCCCGAGGACAGGGATAGCCAGTCACGAGGCTTGGGCACCAGGACCATGTCCCAGCCCTGCACAGGAACAGCACTAGACTCGAGGTCAGGGCCCCAGAGCCCGTGGGGTCTCCTGGTAGGGGGTGATCTGGTCCTGCCTGAGCCTCCCTGATCCAGCTCTTGCTGAAGCCCCAAGTCCTGACCAACCTGACCACCCTCTGGGTTGGGAAGGGCCCGAAGCCCACACTGGGAACTTATAAGAACTAACGAGGGCGACTGAAATGTCTCAAGTTTCAGGAGAGAAGCAAAAACAGACCACGGATTTCTGTCCTCAAACCCTCGGCCCAGTCAGCCACAGCTCAGCCTTCCCTCCCTTCCTTCCCTGCGAGGAGGCCCCAGCCCCTGCTCAGCTCTGGCCAGTGGCCACACAGTTTCAAATTCTGAAATGGCCTTTCGCAAATGTTCAGTTTCCAGCACTTGTTGAACAGCCCACATCCTGCCCTAGCTTCCCGGGGGTAAGATTTACTCAAAAAGGGGTAAAGCCCCGTCTTCGGCTACCGAGTGCAAACCCAGTCCCACCCGGGCAGAGTCGGGGGTTAGGGTTCCAGTCTCCTGACCAGTCACGGGCCGGGCAGAGTGCAGCTGGCTGGGGAAGCAGGCCTCAGCGAGGGGAGCGCCCCTAAGGGCCGAGACCCCGCCCGGGCCAGGCCCCAGCGACCGTCCCTGGTCAGGCCTTACCACCAGGCTGCATTGGCCAGTCATGCTTCAAGCAGTTACTCGCAAGAGTTCTCTACTGGACACTGGCGGGGCGAGGACCGGTGCCAGGCAGCAGGGCTGGGCACCCACCGCCAGGCACTCAAGGCGGGCAGGAGGATGGACACCTAACAGCGGTCGGGAGGCCGCAGAACCCAAGACCTGGGCTGTGCGGGAGGTGCGCGAGAGGGCTCTGGAACACGGGCCCCCTCACCATGTATTCTAGAAAGAAGGCTGTAGCCTGATGCTGCCGGAGGCCAGGCAGAGGTCCAGGGGTGGCTGGCGCCTGCGAGACACCAGGGCGGCGAGGGGCGCACGGGGGCGCAGCGCCCTCACCCCCGCTGCTGCAGCCCTGGCAGCAGGCTGCTGCAGAGCACAGGCGCTCAAGGAATCAAGACTGAAGCGGGCTATTAGGGGAGGGCAGGCCAGCACGGTCTGCTGCCCACGGTCTGTCCCTCAGCCACGCACCCAGGAGTAGTGGTGGAAGCCGGCGGCAGGTCAAACTCTGACTCAACAGAGCCGCTCTGCCACGCAGGGCAGCACCAGCCCCAGCCACCGACGCTCCCCTCTGCCATCGTGGCTCTGAGGGCCCCTCCAGTGGGAGCCACCGGCCGGCCCTGACCATGTCCTTCTCCTGGTGACTCAGACACGGGGGAAGCCGAGGCTCCGGTCTGAGAGTCGGGCTGGGCGGCCCACGCCCCTGCTCTGGCTTCCTGGCCTCATCCCCAAGCACCTGAAGTTCTTTTGCCAGGAATATTTGTTTAAAGCGCTCTTCCACCCGGGACTCGGAGCTTCAGAAAGGCAGAGGGAGGATGTCTTACATCTCGCTACTTACCTCCCGGCTCCTGGCGCCAAGGAAAGGACCCAGTATTTTTGAATGAGTGAATGATTAATTCACCAACCGCTTCTTGGCGGCAGACCCTGCCCTCCCGAAGACCCTGCCCTGGAGAGGTTTATCGTCCTGCTCGTGCAATGCAGGGCGGCCGAGAAGAAAGCGCAGATGTGGGAAGGCTGCGTGGGAGGAGAGAGAGCGGGCGAGGATGGGTGAGAGGCTGACAGTGTCGGGGTCAGGCGTGGGTGGCCCTAGGCCAGCAGCCCAGCGAGTGTGGGAGAGTAGTCAGGGGGCGCCGCTGAGTGCCGCGAGGTCGGTGGGCCTCACTCGCCCAAGGACTGCTGGCCAGAGGACCTCGCTCCTGTACAGGGCGCCCTGGCCAGTCACAGCTCACCTTCCGACAGAAAACTATCCACTAGGCTCCCACATGCACCGGCACTCACAGGCCCACGGCCACCAGCGCGGTCTAAGGCCCTCCCTCGAGGCGTGGGGCCACGTAACCGGGAGACACGCAATCCCGAGACTCAAAACTCGGGCCCCAGGTGTCATAGTGGAGAGAGGGGCAGTTACCTGGCTTGCCCGGGCGCTGACATCAGTCTGTGAGGCAGAGGGGATGCTCCGTGCCAGACGACGGGGACCACCACTGGGCCAGAGGACGATGCAGGACAGGAGTGGGGACAGATTCTAGGGTCAGAGGGGCCAAGACAAGAAAGAGATGAGGGCAGCGCAAGGGATGTCACTGGTGGGCACTGGATACATAGCTGCTGAGGGAGGGAGAGAGCAGCAGCCGGGAGGATCCGGACTCTGGGAGGGGGGGAAAGAAGGGCGGAGGAGGACAGGAGGGAAGGAAGAGGGAAGGCTGGGGCGAGGGGGGCAGAGCAGGCCTCGGCCAGCACCCGCCCCCAGAGCCCAGGGCTCCCCAACTTGCCTTTCTTGTTGACTGTCCCTGCTGGAAGGCCCCGCAGGCTGCCTCGAGGGCCGGGCCTGGACGGCCCACCCATCCAAACTGGCGCCTTCTCAGGACTTAGCGGGACTCTTCATTCTTCTGAGAGAGGAATTTGGTACCACATCCTCTGAGAGCTTTAAATAACGCAACCAAGAGGGACCGTCACAGCCAGTTTAGGTGGAGATGGAGAAACCTGGCAGGAACGGCCCCGCACCCCCCCCACCCCCCCACCCCCAGGCGCCACGCTGGCCGGAGCGCCCTGCAGCACGCTCCTGCGCACGGAGCAGCCGTCTCCACAGCCCTCACCTGCCGGAGGAGGCGAGGCCACAGGTCCAGAGGTGCCGCACATCTGGCCAGGGCGCGCAGAGACCCAGGGGAAGTCGGCTTGCCTGCGAGGCAAGCAGGCAGCTCGCCGGAGGTGTGACCGAGACCGGGCTATTTTCGACCTGCTGTCTTGGCAGAGGCAAGGGCAGTTTTCGGGAAGACCCAAGGTTCCCGGCCACCAAGCCGAGCCAGCGCTGCCCCAAGACGGGCCAGTGTCCAGGCAGTGAGGACTGCCAGTATCCTGCCTCGCGCCGGCACTGGACCCGCGGCGGGAAATGGACTCGCACGGGAGGACGCCACAGCCCCGACGGGCCGCACCACGCCGCACGGCGCCCAGGCCGTTCCGGAAGGACCAGCCCTTCCACAAAAGCACGACATATTTTTAGCTGCTCGTTCCTCCACTCAGCAGCAGCTCGGCGGCGCGCGGAAGCCAGGGGCAGTGCGGCGTGGCGGGGCCCCCCGGAACCCCGCAGCCGGGGACGCGCCTGTGGGTTCGCCCCGCAGGCTCCCGCGTGGCCACGGCCCCGCCCCCATCCGCACACACTGGCCCGCCGCAGGCTGCTCGCTCGAGCAGCCGCTCCCTGCAGAGCAGTTACTGGAGTCGCTGCGGCTCGCGCCCGCACGCACTCGCTGGGCTCAGTCGCCAGCGTTCTGGGATTCCTGGGACACATTCGCCCACCCGGTGCCCTCCTTACTGCCAGCGTGCGTCCTCCCCTGGCTCGGCTCGGTCCTCCTCAGTGAAGCCAGTCCCGGGCTCTGTTCGATCCGGCATGCTCTTTGACTTAGCTCATCAGTGTGTGTGGCCAGGAGCTGCCGCCCTCATCCACCGACTAATTCACCCGCTCATTAGCTGCCGAGACCGCTCATTACCAATTAGCCTCCATTTACACATCCATCCCCAGGCGCAATCCGGAGTACACCGACTTACTTATTCATTTTTCCACTTGAATGCTCAACTCCACTTTTGACTCCCTGACCCACGAGTGTCGCATTCATCCACTCACTGACGTTTCCCCTGGCTTTGGGCAGTTTGGCTCACACCCGGGCTCGTCCGCCGGGCACCACGCACCGTCTCATCTCGCCACCCTCGTCTGAGCTTCACTTTGGCGTTGTCCTCTGCACTTTCAGTCTTTTTCTCGCTCCTCTGTCTCCCTGGCGAGTGAATTCCACTCGGTCCCTGACTCACCGCTTTACTCCTCCTTCGCTTCAGCCCCCGGGCTCAACGAGCGCGCCTCACCGGCGGGCCACGGCCGGAGACGGTGCCGGGAAGGCCGCCGCCACCTGTGGAGCCGCGCTCGCGCCTGTCTCTCCGCCCAGGTGCCCACGGAGGCGCCACAGGCTCCCTCCTGTGCTCCGGGAAAGGCCGTTTCCGTGCCCAGTTGAGCTATTACGTTCGTATCTGAGTCTCCATCTAGCTTCAGAGAGCTACCGGACCACTGGAGCCAGGTCAGAACCCGGCAGGGCGGCACCGACGCAGACAGCGCTTCTCAGAGCCCAGGCCCGACAGCGCTCAGCGTCCTCTCCAGAACCAAGGGCCAGGAAACTCAAAATATGGGGTCCAGGATCCTTCCCGCTAATTCTTTGTGCCTGAGGTGGGGGTAGGGTGGACAAAGCATATAAACAGCACATAAAAATACCCAAATTTTCAGTCCCGTACACAGCGTATACTATCGGAATAAACGTTCAAAGGCTGTTTTAGTTCCTAAGTTGTCATGATCCTTATAAGAACACATAGTTTTCATTACAGGTCCATGACTTGGCCTCTTCTGATTTAGTTTATAATAGACTGACTTGCTAGATAATACCAAGAGGGACCTGAGCAGCAGACGCCAGCCACAATGTGACAGCAACGTCAAGCCAAAGAACACAACAGTGACGAGTTTGACCTCTAGCACTATCGCTGTCACTCAAGAGCGCAGATTCACTCTCTTCAGGCCAGTGCGCCTCACTGAAGCAAAACTGGGTCAATCCTAGCTCCGGGGATGCGCCTGGTCTTGGGTTGTCTTTACGGATGGAGTTCCCCTTGCTGCTCCTCCCTTGGTCTTCTTTCTGAAGTAAAGTTTGCAGCAGGGAGGGCTTCCAAACGAGAGGGGGTTTTGACTACTCGGGCACTGTGGGCAGACAGCTGGCCTGGGCCACATCCTCTTGCATGGCCAATCAGGAGTAGGAGTGACTGCTGAAATCGTACCAGCATATTTACCTTTAACTTGCTCCACCACTTACTGCTTGGCGCGAAATGATACCAGTGAAAACGCGAACAGCCCAGGGCAAAGCCTCGCACTGGCGTGTGGCGCCCGTAGCTGCAGCCGAGCGGCGTGGCCCGTCGCCTTCTCAATGGAAAGCTCTCTCTTGACTCTAAAAAATAAATGAACCATGACCTCATCAGAAAAAAAATCTTCTCGCTGGCCCATGCCTGGTCTTTGATAGGGTTTTAGGATTACATTAAACCATTTATTTTTGTTGGAATAATATAGTCATCATCCATAAATAAAACGGCCAAGTCAAGCATAAAATTTAATCAATTACCGTGATCGCCACGGCCCCAGGGACACAGGTTAACAGTGCGGATCTTCATCTTTAGGTCACCGGATAGCCGAGGTGCAGCATTCTGGGGGACAGAGCAAGTGTGAGTCAGAATGAAATACACCTGTCGTCGGCCACGCTTGCCCTCACTCCTATCCGCTTAATTGTACTTTTTGTTCTTCGTGAATCAAACATCAGGAAACCCATTGCAAACTAAGTAGAATACTGACTCTTAAATATGTCGATGCAGCTGTTCACTACACAAAGGTACCGGCTTTGATCCATGTTTTTTTCTTAATGGAACAAGATATTTCAGAATGGCGCTAAGTATCTTATATAGCATAAAATTTTAAAATATCACTATTATATTGATTGATTCAGTTATTTAGTCATTAATAATATAAAATCAATATACATGAAGCCTCTTACGTCTCAGAGTTAGAGTCTTAAACTTCCCTGAGGTTTTCCCCTCAGAAAGCAAGAGCTGGTTTCGCAACGGGCCTCAGTGGCTCACAGGCAGAGATCACAGTGCACTCAGCTGCATTCCACTCGCATCACGGGCCCGCCACGCAGTGCGTACAGTGACGGCAATTTTCAGATGTCACATGAACAACCGTGAGCCCACATTCCTACTCCACAACGAGACTATGACTCCCCACCTGAGAAACAGCTCGCATCTTCATCAGGAAGGACGTCTGAGAGACCCATGGACAGACGTGAGAGGGGGTGCAAAGTCTGGAAATGAGCTAAGTCAAGCACGTCCCTCACACTCACCAGCATGAGAATGGGCTGGTCAGGAACTTCGGTTAGGATGCGACCTCGTCACAGATTCCCGAATGACCTCTTACAATTTAATTACATTTTTTCTTCTTTAATGGCACAAAGGAGACCCACCATAACCCGACCGGCCCAAGCCAAGAACTCTAGGGCTTCTATAACGTAATGAGCCCCTTACCCAGAGGAGTGATGCAAACGTCGTCCCGCAGGGCAACTGAGTTAGCCAAGACGCACCCGCCCTGCGGAGGGAAAGAGGGTGAGTGAACAAAAAGGTCCAGATGTAGGCTCTACTTTGGTGACCAGGATGAAGCTAATTTTCAACAGAATGATTCGCACTGCATCCTTCTTCCTGGCTCAGGAGTGGGTCTCCATTTATGGACTAATATATTCAGGGATCCATTTAATAAGATAATACATCGCACATCCTCAAACTAACCCAAGCCAGCGTAAGAACCAGCCCTGTGTGCCTCACCCTGAAGCTAAGTGGCCGGGAGCCTTTTGTGAAAAGGTGTCTGTGTGGGAAGTAGAGTCTCCGTGCCCCTTGGTCTGGCTCAAGCCCATGGCGAGCCCTGGGTGGCCTTCTGGGGCCATGCTACTTGCTAGAGCTCCCAATCAAAGGCGGTCACTTGGTGTGACTCCCCGGCCCACAAAGGGCTCCGTCACCTTGGAACGATCACCAGCTCAGGGGTCCATTCTGCGGAGGAGACAGGAGGAAAAAGTGAGGGTGGCGATACCCGCTGCGGTCGGTCGTGATCTGACTCCCGGGCTAGCAGGCGCTGCTGGGCCTTCTCCACGTGCCTGGGCCAATGGGCGCCTTCTCTGGGGCGCCATCTCCAGGCCCCGTGCAGGTACTTAACTGGGTGGTTTGTTGTTGCATCGTATGGACGTGGGAGGGTTGCCGGCAGGGAGAGGGGTGTGTGACAGGCAAGTGTTAAGGCGCAAAGCTGTATGCCCCAAGTTATGTATCCTTGTCAACAAATTGGAAGTCAATAAAATTTGATTTGAATAATGAAAATAAGTAAGTCTGTCATTATAACTTCAAAGATGCCAATAAAATACATGACAGCATCTTGTGCAAACCAGGGGGAAGAGCTTATTCGCCCCTGGACCCAGGTTTACCCCCGGCTGACCCGTTCTGGTATTGATTCATTACTAAAATTATTTCTTCCTCTTACTAAAAAAAGAACTCACTTAAGACAAGAGCACCGAACACTGCTAGTCTCTGCCTAGATGGAGGCTACTCACAGAGGTCTCACCCCGATTTGCTTATCAGCGAGCCCCAGGGCTCCAGAACGATGCTGATAGCAGAGCTGGAAAGCGGGACTCACTGGACCCCTCGTCCGTGGCGCAGCACAGTCCTCTCCGCTCTTGTTAAAGTTCCGCATCCATGTAGCCACTCGCCTGTCCTGTAACACAAGGGCCACCACGAGGGACCACACGCCGAGCCTGCAGCGCGCTCGCCTGAGGACCCCGGCGGGGAAGCGGAGCTCAGGGGCGGGGGGGAGGGGGGTGAAGGTGACAGGAGCGGGGTGAGTGGCCCCCGGGAGCCAGTTATGTAAACAAATGGCAAACTCATAAAATGGGATGTAAAGCAAATGAATCGCCTCAGATTTCAGCCTTGCTCTGCTGCGCACAGGAGGCAAGCACGGTTTAGAGTGGCCTTAGGTTTGGGGGTGTCTCTTGCTACCACTGGCTAAAACACAGCGCCTCCACTTGTGGGGTCGCTCAGTTATTACTTTTACATTAGAAAGAGCACAGCTCTGAACGCACCACCAGAATGAAAGCGCGCGTGAAACAAAGCAGCCTCACTGCCGCCACCCTCCCCTGCAGCCCCCATCTTTGCACCCCCACATGGAAACAGCTGCCTGTCGGGGCCCCTCCAGGGGTGGCGACTGACAGGCCAGCTCCCTCAGGCGCAGCAGGAACACGCCTGGAGGGAGCAGCCACGCCTGGGCAGGAAACTCTAAATACCTGTTTCAGAACAATGTCACAGGCCACCCGGGGCACAGAGGTGAGTCGCAGCCCCTGTGGCCTGAGGGCCACCCGCCAGGGAGTGACCACAGGGTGCAGTGGGTCTCTCCGGTCCCCCACTGTTCCCTCAGCAGTAGGTTTCGGTGGCTCCGCCTGTTCTGCTCCCCACTCTGTCTCTGGGGAGTCCTCTCATCCCCTCACCTCTGGCCTGCACCCCAGTTTTCTGTGTATAAATCGACATAAATCTTAAGAAAAATAACAATTTCATAGCAGTGAGCAATGCTTGATTCTATTTCTTATTAACTCTTTCACTCAGAAATTAACTTGAACAACTATTCATTCTTTCTAAAGAAATGACACAACGTTCAAGTGATTGGAACCCAGGACAGGAACGCTCCTGTGCCTGTCTGCCGGGTCCCCCGGACCCAGGTGAAATCATAATGATTGTTTCAAGACTTTCATTTTGGGGCCCAAGCTTTTGAGCCATTGATTATGACAGACTTGTTTATTGACTACAATGATAAAATCGTTCCCTCTGCACACTCGAGACAACAGCACTGAAGAAGGGGGGCAGGTGCGCTTCTGCTGGTCACCCCGGCGGCCACAGGCTGCAGCTACTTGACGCCGCAGCGAGCGTGGTGGCCACAGTGCAAACCCCTGATAAATAACGCTCTGTCAGTGGACAGACAAGATTATTCTGCACCTTTTATTTTTATTTCTAGTTCACCTTTTGTAGCAATATATAAATATTGTTTCTTTTTAGTACTGAAACAAACACGCATTAGACCAAAGGCAGCCCAGGTCGGGAACCTTGCAGTTTAGTATCTGGCTGCATGTCCAACATGGGGAGCGTAAAAAACAAACATCAGCCCTCAAAACCAAGTCGGACTAATACTTGCTTTGTGGCACTTTAGACTCAGTGTGCACACAGCTGTTCTTACTCGCTGACTCTTATTTACTAAACCCTCCGCGCATTAATTCATGCATAATAACACCATCATTAGCCATGAGCCTCAAAGCACAGATGACGGTAATTGAAATTTCTAAAAGCCGTCAATAGGATCATTTCCAGCGGTGGAATAGACCAGCTCTCTCTGTGGCCTGGGCCTCGGGTGGCCAGACTCTCATTATGCACCTTCCGTGATTCACACGCCCCTGTCATCATCAACATCCACACTCATGAATATTTCTCATTATTTACATTTTATCTACCAATTTATGCTATGATTTGCTACCTGGTAAAAAATGTACCTGAATCACAAAAAAAAAAAAAAAAAAGAGTTAGAGCCTTGCTATCCCTCATGTGTGCCTATAAAACAATTTCCCTAGACCGCTGATCCTTCTGGAACTAACCAGTGTTTCTATCCAACCCATCCTCATTGATGGAATGCGTTTAGCCAACTCTGAGTACATTTTCCCCTTCTCAGTAATGACCGGCCACTCTCACAGCACCTGATCAAGACAGGACATTGGACGATCACTCCCATGGCCTCCACCCTCCTAAAGCAACTCTGAGCTCCAGCCCACAGCAGAATGGCAACGCCCAAGCAGGGACCACCCCGAGGTGTTTTCACATTGCCTTTCACTTAGATAAGCCTGTAGTATTTATTAGTTTATCATGTAATGCTTTTAAGTTACTTTCCTCTTCCTGAAGCAAATGTTAACTTATAACTGACCAGACACTCAGTGATCACTTAGTGAGAGGGGTGAAGGGCCCAGGTTCCGCTGTCGTCGAGTCCAGTGGACACTAGTGCTAATTCTCCCCTCACCGTGTATTTAATAACTGGAACGTGACTCATATTATCTATTTACGTTTGTATTGATTCTTTTATAGTAACAGAATCATATCCCATGAGCCACACAATTAAAGGCACAAGATTTTAAATAGCCTTAACCTCTACCTATACTAATATCTTCTGTCAGGGAAGAGAAGGGAGTTTCACTGCACCGAACCTCAAGGTCCAGACACAGGGAGGGCACTGACCACACTCAGGGCCCAGGGTCACCGCTGAGCCAGGTATGGCTGGCACCTTCTTAATATTCATGTACCAGACTGTTACTCATGCGTAACTCTTTATTGTTCCACCAAGAGCAACAAACTAGATTCCTAAAGAATTCGAGACAAGACGGGTGACTGTCACTCAACGCCAGTCTCCAGCTGGAAAAGCAGAGAGTAAGCTAAGGCTCGCGGCCCCAGGATGGCTCTCCCGAGTGGCCACTCTAAGGGCCAAGCAGAGGCAGCGGGAGAAACCCTTTGCGGCGCTATCTGACCTGGCCTTTGCATTCTGCCTTCCAGGTATGCTCCGCATGGAAAGCCACGCTTCCCTTCGACGTGGAGACAGTATCCGTCTTGCTGCTGACACACACGTGAGTCTGACGTTAGCACTGTCCAGATCATCCTTCGCCAAGGAGGAAACAGCCTCCGACCATTTCTGTCTTAATGGCATCATCCCTTCAATCTATAGAACAGCACTGCTTTTTAATCTTTTTTAAGATATTCGTTACGCCACCCTCCCTTTTCGTGCACTGCATGACCACCCTACGGAAGCCCACCGTCACATCGCCCTTACTCTACGCCACTGACACCTGTGCTCGCCCCACCGCGCCCGGTCCTTGTCCTCCTCTCTCTTACAGATGTCCCTGACCTACAGCTGCCTCATGATTTGGGTTTTTACTTTATTACACTGACTTCTTTTTTCTCATTCCTTTTTTGTTTTCTCAACATTCCTCCTATAAGTGAGACCCATTCGATAGTTTTCCTTCTTCTTTTTTTTTTTTTCTGTCTGATTTTGCTAAGCCGAAGCCTTTCCAGCCCCATCCAAGTTGTTGCGAAGGGCACAAGTTTATCCTTTTTCATTGCTGAGTAATCTTCCATTGTGTACATATACAACATCTTCTTGTCCAGTCATCTATTTTTGGTCATCTGGGTTGCTTCTAGCTAACCTATGATAATTTGTGCTGCAATAAACAGGGGTGCTGGTGTCCTTCTGAATGAATGTTTTTGTGTCCTCTGGGTAGATTCGTAGGAGTGGAATATAAAATAGTGTTTCTTTCCTGACCTTACATTTTGAACACTGGACAATGCTGAACCTCACTTTTCTTCACTTATCTGCAGGTTTTAAATGTCCTTTCACTTATTAGCCAATTGTAAGAATAGTTCCAAAATGTGTGAACACAAAGACAAAAGGCGGACTCTGTGTACACCCCAGACAGTGAGCAAGAGGACCCCTTCAAAAAATGGAAATGGACTGGATTTCTTTTGCATTGCACCTGAGGCTTCTGGGCACATGGTATTCGTGGCCCACTGACTCAGAGCCACCATTTGTCATCACTGGCCAACTCACACCCTCGTCCTTCATTTCTGCAACATTTATGGAGTTATTATTTAATCTACCAATAATAACTTTTAAATGCCGTGATTCACAAGAGCCTTGGTATATCACTAACCTCGCATTAATTATCTTCAGTTTTTCACCCATGCATTCACACAGCATGTATGCATCATGCATCCCATGCATCGCATTAATGGGTACGATGTGATATGATCATGCACAGCCCACATGTATCACGGGAATGCAGTTGACCTTATCTCCTAGTTCCGACTTTTTGCTGGCATCATGAATACCCTTAAGCAAGGAGCCAAACTAGGATAAAATCCCGTGGTCCCAGGATCCTAACCAATGGATAACCGTGAGCCCTTGACCACAGAAACCACCTTCCAGCAGCTCCAGGATGCACATTCTGAGGCGTATGGAGCAGAAAGACAACTTAAACATCACCCTCCCCACAGATCCCTGTCTTCACCTGTAATTTAGACAGTCATTTATGCAATCATCAATTTCAAGTATATTTATCTCATTTTCTCTGAAGAGAAGAAGCAATTTCCAACTTGTCATGGGCCCAGAACATAAACAGTGCCTATGATTCATCTTGTCTACATTGTCCTTCACCTAAGACAGAGCAGGCATCTATCACTTACCTCTCGCTGGACTTTGATGTTTTCAATACATAAATAATATTTCTTGCCTAATCATACCTTTATATAATTGGACAATACTTCACTCCTTTTATCTTTATAGATTCTTTCCTTTGTCCAATTATAAAAATGGAATGAAAATGCATGAGTGCCAGATCAAAAACCCTGTGTATTTCGTATTCCTGACATCTGATGCAGGCCCTCTCGCAAGCATCAGAGAGAATGGGCTCATTTTCTTTTGTCCTGGCCAGAGGATTCTACACGTGTCCCCGGTGCCTGACTCCTCTACCACCAGTAAGCTCTGGTGCAGTATGTCCCTCTTTTCTTCATTTCTATTTACTTACTGAGCCAATAATTATCTCACTAGCAATTTCAATCACTGAGTCACAAGCCCAAGAGCCCCTAGTCCACCAACAGAAAAATCCTACATTCATACAGCTTTCATTACCTGCGCTCGGTTTTATTTCAGACACATGCAATTACCAACACAAAGCATCGTGTCCCTTTTACAGCCATCACTAGCCAATAGCTGGCCAACTTCCAGTCCTTTCCACGGTTTCTAACACCGTTTAGATACTCTGAAACAAACTCCCTAAGCAAGATAAGAGCTCGGACTCGCACTCACATCGGTCTCTGTGATCCAGCAACAGATGCAGCCAGAGGCCCTGACAGGGAAGAGGCTTAAATCAGCTCAAGGTCATTCACTCTGAGGATGGCCAGAGTCCAAAGCACAGCAGATGATTTAAGGGTCAGACACGTTGATTTCAGCATTTTAGTTACTCACTCAGATACAACTTACTTTTTAGAAACATTTTTTACCCAGAGAAAGAAACAATCTTAAACAAAAAAATGGATCCAGAATAAAATCTGATCCTAAATCAAAGAGTAACACTCTGATTCACTTATTTCCTAATGAGCACGATGGTTACCAGCTTGGACGACTTCTCTTTTTGGTCTCACCACGTGCCCAAGGTTGGAAATACGCGCCTCCGTCTTCTCTATGAGTTTATATTTGTTGACTGGATCTATTATTGCTCCCTACATGGAGTAATGATAAATCTAGATCTATGAATCCCAAATACAAACAGGACACTGCATGTTCCTGACTGCTGTCTACGGCCACCGCACGCAGGGGCACACCACGCAGGGGCACGCACGCAGGGGCACGTACACAGGGTCACCGCACGCAGACGCACGCAAGCAGGG